GTGTGTATGCAACCCCTTCCGAAATGAGCCAACATTGCTAGTTCTACTGTGTTTTGAGGGGTGTTACTACAAGAAACACGTATAAACAAAGGCTCAAACAAACACACACACACACACACACACACACACACACACACACACACACACACACACACACACACACACACACACACACACACACACACACACACACACACACACACACACACACCAGTGATTCTATTATATGTGAGAATCCTGTAATGATTAACAGCGCCGCTGTGAGCGCACATATTTATCTAATTGTTGCGCCTGTTTTCCTTCAAGGAGTCTTCTGTGTGTTTTGAGGGGCTTAAACACCGCTCTGTGTAGCCCTTGTTAAAATGACCGCTCGTGCAACTTACGAGGCCACCAAAACCGCACACGCACATAACATGGTCAATTGATCCCTTCTATAAATGATGTCCAGACTCCAGAGGTCGTGTCCATATGGTGTACGTACTACCAAGTTACGTTCAACACGGCTACTACATGTGTCTGGCTTAAAGGTAGTAAAGGGCTTCGCCAACTTTCACCATAACAAATGAGCTGATTCACTCACCTTGTAAATATGAGGAATGTTGCCGAGTATTGGCCATTTCCAGTGCCCTGGCGGGTAGTTCCTCCCCCTCCTGATAAACCACAAAACTCCAAGGAACGACACCAACAGGACCAGGACGGTCTGGGTGTCTAGAAACGCCTTGGCTCCCGACGCGACGTGCAGAAGGAGTGACATGGCGAGACTTGAAGGACGTCACGCTTCAGGGACTCCTTCCAACGCAGCTGCGGCCTGTCTTGTAAAGCTTCTTGAGCAGCTCTCGGTGGAAAGACCGGTAGCGTTGTTTCTGGTCGACCGGTCTTGTTGTGGTTTTTGTAGCCAGGTTTTTGCTGAGTAATGACTAGACCACTGTACGTGTGTGCCTAAACCTTGAGGGTCTCCCAGCTGATTGGAGTCAGGTCGTCACCACTGGAAACTGAGAGGCTACGCCCCAGGGGCGGATCAAAAACGTCTGAGGGCAAGGGTGTTTCTGTGTTCTGTCGTCTATTATACGGAGTGGCATATTATCGTATTTTGCTGGCCAATAGTTTGTGCAAATTGTTGACGATCGACGTTTTCTCAACAAAACTAGTGCAATATAGAACTGTTATTTCAGTATCATCCTGGCAAAGATTTAACCTATTTTCCCCCGCCCCCTCCCTGCACGGTTTGTCCTGGTATGCTCCTACTGTGCCATACCAGTCAGTGTGCCATCCGACCTCCGAGTCAACAATCCACGCAGGTCAGCAGGTCACGTCCTTGATGACATTTTGTCAAGGCGTCTTTTATACTAAAATTATACAGTTCCTTCCGTAGCAACTTGTATTCTTGTATGCATACAGCAACGGTGTTTGTTCAGGATGTTTATAAGTGTGCATTGCACAGTTCATTTTCAAATTGGGCTGATATAAAAAGATGTAAAGATTCTGACTGCTTAGTCTGGTATATTTGTTTTACAGCAGAGTATACACTCATGTCGACCTGTTTCTCAGGTATGCCTGGGCGTAGATTAAAAACACAACAGTGTTTATAGACAGCTGGTGCAGATTGAGATTTGTGCTTTGGACCTTGCTTTCTCTCAATTTACGGGCCAATTACAATGTCGTAAAGCAGGGTCGTAGAATGTGTGTAAAAATGTAGGAGCTATTATCATATTTTCATGTTTATAGGTGGTATATTTTCTATGTCATTCTGTATTACGGCGTCATCTTAACGTGTTGTTTTGTCTCCAAAGCTTACGGTGAATATTTTTCTCCATCCACCCACTACTATCCCCGGTTCACCCCTCTCGCGGTAGACAGACAGACGTGTTGACTGCTGCTGTAACCCCCACAGCAGCCCTGAGGACAAACCCAGGCGCTTTCAACGCTACCGAATGCCAAAGCGATCACATTGCACAACTATTTTTGCACACATGTCCCTGACATTGGGATCTATACTGGCGCGGTTTGCCATCATGAGAGCAGCCATACATGTGTTGAACATTTATTTCCGATGCGTATCTTTCCCATGCAAATAAGAGATAAACAAAGACATTGATGCAAAAATATTTGCCACCTCTATCTACCTGCAATCAAACCTGATGCTGCAAAATTGACCGTACGGTCAGTAACCGTAAGGTCAGTCACCGTACGGTCAAAAACGGGCTCAGACCAGGAAAATTCGGTCAGCGACCCCATTCAACGTCCCTGAACTTAATTCGTACACAGTACGACATGAAGGATTACCCAAGTCCCGGGTATTTTCTTCTGTGTGTTAGAATTTACTGTTTAATCCTGCTTCAGAATAAGTTGACATCATTGCAGGGATGATTGGGTGAAAACTAGTCATTCAACTACAAGTATCAACGAACTCAAATAAAGAAATTGTATATGTCCTTGATTTGACCGAGACATTTGTAGACACTTGAAAAAAACACAATGGCAAACAGTATGTCATTGGCTGTGCTTTGTGTACATCATGTCCTTATTACATTTAATAGCAAGTCAGTCTGTAATAAAGTACTTAAAATTGGCAAGAGTAAACTGGCAGTATAATATTGCGATGACAATTGACATTATACCTGAGTTAACTTTCTAACATGCAGTACTGATAGCTTAACATGTCTGAATGTACAGGTATTGCTAGAACATTCACATTGAATGGCACTGAGGTTGAGATAACAAATCTATTTGAACTACAATCATATATATATATTACATAATAAATCTTTTGTTAAAAGAAATTTCACAGGTGGTCCTTATGCAGAGGCAGTAGTACAACATTGACTGCAGCTCAAAACATTCCCTAATTTTCTGCATCAAAATGTACAACGAAACTGCATACAATTGAAAAGTAATCTAATTGGTTGCAGATTGACAACATCTAGCCTCTTCTTACATAGAACAGAGTACATTGTGTACAGGAATGGCTATCGCCCCGGCAACGGCGATCCCACAGCTGTCAGCCTGGGACGTCACTCCGAGGGAGAACTCACGGTGCTCCTCTGCAATCTGGGTACAGACATTAGATCAGTGTTAGTTAAGTTTACTCGGTAGTGTCTATATCAGCTTTGTAAGTAGGGTAAACCTTCAACAATGGACCTGATATCTCAGTGTCTTAAACTGTACATTTGCATGTGACGTCTGTTGTGTAAAAATTCACCAAGTTGGAGATTATCTTAAGACCATGATGGTATATATGACTGGGTGCAAATATTAAAGTTGGAAAGGAAATGGAAACCTACAAGGAAAGTAACTTCATTTTGTACAAAGTGTTGAGGAAACAGAATAGCATACCTCATGTGACATTTTGTAGAAGGTGTTGACGTAGGCGGCTCCCCCCAGCAGACCCTCCCACAGGATCATGGCAAAGACTATCCAGATGGAGGGCAGGAACGGGTGCAGCACTTCCAGCAGGAACAGGCCAACATTCACAAACTGGGACAGAAGTTTTAACAGTTAGCAGCAATATGTATACACATGTAAGTATTCAGGGCATTTGGGACCTCTGCAATGTGCAGAGTGATTGCTTTACATGTGGTAGGCTGTGAGTTAAATTCCTAACTGAGTCACACCAACAGTGGTGCTTTTTCTGCTTCTCACTCAGTATATAAGGGATTGAGTGAGAAAGTTGAATACACACCACTACTAGAGGACTAGCCCCTTGCTGTAGTGCTTGTACAGACATGTGGCCCAAGGGCTCAAATGTGTTTGTCATAACTCTTTTTACAGATACATGTAGCTTTGTACAACACAAACACCTGATAGTGTTGTACATTTTATACTAATCAGACATATGCTGGTGACACGGGAGTTTTTGTCCTGACCTGGAAGAAGGCGAGGAGCCAGAGTGCGTGGATCTGCACGATGCTGACAGAGGAACGGGAGATAAACACTCCGATCTGGTAAATCACCTGGAACCTGGGGGGGGGGGGCAAATAACAAGTGTCGGTAATAGTTACTGTGTACATTTAAAACATTGGCAAGTAATTTTCTTTGGGTTGTGTGCCAAGAACTCTGTGATGTTCTCAGAATCAAGGGGTTTGAAAGTATGTCATTCCCTACAACTGTTGGAAGTTATCATCATCAAAAACAGCAGGGGCTTCAACATAGCCACATTTTGGACCACCATTACACTGTGAATGGTGGAGGCTATAACAAGTAAATAACATGTACTTACCATCTGTACTGCTCAGAGTGGCTGAGCCAGATGTTTCTGAAGAAGATGAGCTCAAACAGTCCCTGGTTTATAAAGTACTCAGCCACATACACCAGGAACAGGGGAGCCATGTACTTACATACAAGTGGCTGGAAAATAACGTCAGAAAGGACGATCAATTATGCACTATTAGAAGGTTAAACATGTTTTTAAATCTCAACATGCACCTATAGATATGTGGTAATAGTAGTAAATGCAGTGTTAGCAGCAGTAGTAGCAAGTGGACAATAAAAATATATGTAAGTCTTTAATAGTGTCACATTTTACTCCAAGTACTAGTACTTGTATTTATTAGCAGCAAATACTTTACCTTTACAAGTTGGAACTTCTGCGTGAGAGAAAGATTTGGACCTGGAAAAAAATCACACCCTCATTTAGTCATAAATAATCGTACATTGACTCTTAATCTTATGACATCTACTACATAACTGACTTTTTGTCAGCACACTTTATTTGTTGTTATTTATGAGCACCATTCACCCCACTGGCTGCACAATATCGTGCACCTGGGTGTGATGCCCCATGAGGGTCTTGTCCAGTATACAATAGATAGATAGACATTTATGTGTTAAGCAAGGCTGTTGTCTAAGAAATAAAGCAATGCTGCATTTATCTGTGATACAACTCTACAGATGGACTGACATGTTCAGAAGGTGGTTGATTAGATGTGTTCCTACCTGACTGTCTGGCTGGAGCTGGTCTCCCGTCAGACTCAGCTAACAGAGGTTCTCTGTCTGCCACTGGGATGGAACTCCCAGCACTGGCCCATCTCTTCTCAAGGATTAACCAAAAGCTGCAGACAAACAGAATCACATTTCAATATATCATTGATTTGGGTACATGGTTGGATCATGATTTTGTACCAATGCCCCTTAAATATAACCTGGATTTAATGACATTTTAAAACAAAGCACAGAAAAAAGTTAAAGAAGCAATTTTTTACCTAACAGAGAGAGTAAAAGGCACAGAGAGCATGATAAGAAGGGAGTTCCTTGCTGAGACCCCGATCTGTAGTAGGCCGGCGTACGAGAGGGCACCTCCCACCCCGGCACCACCTGGGGGAAGGAGACAAGAATCAAAATGTCACAAATACAAGAGAAAGAAAAATTCAGAAGATATATATAGGCCCACATAAGAAATTGCTAGTGTTGTTAAAAGTTACCTACCTAAGCATGGGCCCTGCTTATGTGGCTACAATTAGCTAATACATTTGTACTGTGACAGTAATGCTAAGAAGTTGTAGTGTTTTTGAAATGGTATAACCCACCTGTTCCTGATGACCAAGCTGACACAGATGACCTATGACAGACAGAAAATAAAACATATAACCTATGACATTGATACAAGTTGACTCCATCTAATACACAAAAACAACAATCTTTTATCACTGGCTAAAACTTCTGACCTATGAGAGATATATATCGAACATTACTGTCCCTTGAAACAAGACTAGTCCTCAGGTCATGAAAAATTATAAATTGTAGCAATCTTACCTGTGATAAAAGGAGGTCAGTCCTAAAAATGTCAGCTCTCCCAGACCTGATGCTATACTGGCACAGGCAACACCTGGTCAGGAAAGAACAGAAAAATAATTTCTACACTTCTGCAGTACAGTATATCAAAGCAGGATTTGGACAGTGGGCAAGTTGACTTTCATTTTAGCAATAAACCTACAATCACTTCAGACTGAAATGACATGTGAGGCATTTTCCATATACATGTACAAATGTATACCATATTAGATTTTCAGTATAGAAGACTGGAAGCCAGATTATTAAGGCTTTCCTGTACTTACCTAGAACACTAACTTCCACAGTGTGTGAGAAGGCCACGATGAGAAAACTGGCAGCACCAAAAAGCACAACAGCTGCTACTTTTATGCTGTATATGACAAATTCAAGACAGTTAGAATTATGTCAGACTATGTTTAACCTTTCTCTGACTGTGCAACCAATGCATATACTTTCTGATCAAAGGTTACCTAAGAAGTGAGAAGGTTAACCAAAAAAGGTACACATACACTACTTTATAAGCTTCTTTCCCATTAACAAGAATAGTACCAAATGAATGTTGAGTAAGAAGCCCAAACATAATCACCTGTAATGTATAGACTGAATGAAGTAAGGAGCAGTCATCTTTACTGTAAGTGCAGGTAAGATATCTGCAAGAAGTATTGCCTGAAGTAGAAACAAATCAGTAGTACATGCATATACAATCTTAAGACTCTTTGTAGCTTTGTGTTATCATACTTATATCATATTAGACATGTGACCAACTATGAACTATGTACTAGCATATATAATTAATAAATACATGCCGGGTTTTATGTTTTCTTGTTGTTGCAATTGCTGGTGCATGTTGGCAATGGTAGTATGGATGACCAAAAATATTTGGGTCATGGTTATAAATGTCTCTGTGTGAACAATGCCTCTTGTTCTGCTGTAATTTATCTGTACCTTCAACTAAATATCTAACTCAAATACACTTGTCTTGTGCATAAGACTGGACTGATACAGTAAAAGATTGGAACAATGCAGTAAAAGGTTATTAGAAACATAACATACCCCTGTTGATATAGGGTTGCAGTCATACTGGTTAGACTTGTTGAAGCCACTCTGGGTTACAGTGGAGTTTCCCTGTGTGGATGAATTTCAAAGTATGATAAGATTTATTAAACAGTCCATTTAAAACAGTTACAACTTGTTCCTAAATCTGTATACAGCCAATAGTTTTTGCACGCAATAATTGTGTGACCGTGACACAATGCTGCTGTAAGTGTACAATGCTACAATCATTGCATGCAAAAACTGTAGCTATATCCACATCTTAAGAAAAAGGATTTAATTTGTAGCTCCAACCCCCTTGACTGTAAACACATGTTACTGTACTGACCTGGTGTTCTTCTTGTTTGAGGATGTCGTGAGCGGCACTTAACATCACCACATAGCCGAAGTTGTTACACAGCCCAAGGAACCTGCAAGGCAGAAAAGGACATTGACAAAGAAATTGTACATTGACTTTAGCACATTAGCAGTAGCAGTACAGAGTAAAGTTGTAAAATTTATTCATACGGGTATATGTAGGTCAAGATTGCAAATATGAAAATTGTAGACAACAAACATGTAACGTTACTTGTTTATCTTCAAACAAGGATAATGTTACTGACCAGAAGGCAAGAATATTCCTCCAGGCAAATGTCTTGGCAGTTTCTTGAGGACCTGTAAAGAACACAAGGACGCTTGAGGAATCAACGTATAGTCATACATTTAACACACAGTTTTTTGGCGAAACATCAAAATTTTGATACAAATGACCTTGTTGACAGTCAAAGCAATGTAAATATGATGATGGTCTGATCTTGCTTTGAATTGAGGCCAAACCATGATGATAAACACACTATGTTTACATTGATTGTTACAAAAAATTCTGTTTGATGTAACATATTGTTTTTGTTTATCTATTTATTCTGCTGTTTGAGACAAATTATACCAAACGAACTTCCTTGTCATAAACATATAACGTTAACTTAGTATTCACAATGTAACAACAACATCATGAATCAGCAGCTGTATATTTTGTGTTCAGTTACCTTGAACTTTGACAGCACAAAAAATCTGAAACAACATCCTTCCAAGGAGGTTCAGTCAATAATTTCAATATATTAATCCACTTAACATTTAATATCGACATGTAAGTTAATGTAACATATTCCTGACATGGAGTTTTGCAGCAGAAAGGTTTATGATTGTTTTGACTTCTGCAAAGTTGCTAAAGCCCCCCTCCCCAAACTTTCTGGGTCGGACTTGCCTGTGATTTCTGTCTCTTGATGTTGATCATCATAGGGTCCTTCATTCTCCTGTCGATCCATGTCGAACTCTTCCCCCATACGTAGTATGAAGGAAGGTTGTTGGCATTAACATGTACTACTACTAAGTAGTATAAACAGGGATGGACAAGTGCAAAGCAAGAGATTTGCAAACCGGTTTGCTTCACTGAATGGGCGGAAACAAATAGTGTGCTAGCTGAGTAAAAAACAAAGTTATTTCAACATAATGCGAAAGGATTTCTCTTCGTTGTTCATGTGAATCTCGGTTTAAAGATATTTCAGCTTTCCATCGTGATACGATCTGGCCGAAGGTGGTTGTTATTAGAGGTATCTTCGTACACTTAGTTGTGATGAATCTGCGGTACCAAATAAAGTTAATGAACGGATGGCTGAATCGTCCTGTCGTTTGTCTAGATTCCGCTAGGGCAAGACGTAGGCCTTGGGCCACTGAGAAAACGGGCACGGTCACGTGTACACACACACTGTTTCAATCATTCACAGTTAACGTCACTGACGTATTAAATGCAAGCTGAAGTGTTGTGGTCATTTCTGACCTTGGGTTGCTACCAAGGGTCCACATCATGTGATGTTCACGTGTGGCGATGCTCCCATTGATTTAATAGTACGGTGGTCCTAGAGCGTCGCTCACAAAGAATTCGTCGGAAACATGTAGTGGTTGATGTACTAAGTAGTTTATTCCCGGTTTAACGGAGCTTACATGAAATGTGAGCCTCTCTTGCACTGCTCAAGAGAAGACTCCCTCCCCCGGCCACAGCCAGGCAGATCTCGAGACTCCTCCCCTGGACACAGCCAGGCCGAGACTCTCCAAGAGAAGACTGCATGAGTCATGATCAAGAGAACGTCTTTCTCTCTGATGACAACTCTGTTTAACCTTGATCTAATTTAAGGGACTTGTTTACTTATTTTTTAAATGAATGGATGTCCCTAAATCTGTGCTATGTGGCCTGGAAAAGGGGACTATTACCATATTTAGTTACGTTTCTGTAACGTTATCTACCTCAGGCAACCCTAGTGTTCCACCAATTAACCCTTAAATTCCTGTAGTGTCCTTAGATGTCCTTACAGTGTCCTTGAAGGTTGGATGACCTTGAATGTCCTTCTCAGTGTTGAAATTATATTGCTTAGATATAGATATTAATTATTTAATCAACCGCTACCACTCTGTGACACCGGCTACTCAGTGGGGTACTCAGTGTTATAAACTCGTAGGGCTTTCAAGGCCCACCAAGGCACAGCGGAATAGTAGACACAATCAAGCATGAACTTGTGATAGCCCACCAGAGAGTATCCCATTGGCAAGACGGTATCCAATGAGTGACACTGTCTTATCTATTGGATACTAACTTTGCTACGGAAAATCTGATTGGAGATAAATTGTCTATGACAAGTTAATGGTTCACTGGTGGTGAAAAGGTCTGCAGTCACCTACAAGATGGGCACTGCTGTGCATATGGTCCTTGTGCTCTGTTTCATGCTATTCGGGCAGACTTTAACCATTTCTAACCCGGATCTACAGCAGAGGCTCCGGGATCTGGACACTTTCATCCAGACCCTGATGACATGTGAGTCCAGGCCTGTAGTCGGACTGACCGTGTCCGTGGTCAAGGACGGCGAATCCATTTTCGCCAAGGGGTACGGCCAGAGGGACCTGCTGACGGGACAAGCTGTGGACAACACGACTCTGTTCGGAGTCGGCTCCATCTCCAAGTCCTTCACCACAGCCCTGTTAGCGGCCATTCTCGGGGAGAGGGAAGACGTGGGCTGGGACACCGTCCTGACGGACATCCTGGGGCCGGACTTCAGTTTCAGGGACCAATTCCGCACCAAGGAGGCGACCTTGAGAGATATCCTTGCGCACAAAACCGGCATAGAAAACCAGAAACTTGCTTTGAGAGTAGTACAGGATTTCGACAGATCGGAACTGGCAAGGTAACAATTCCATTTCAGATGTTAGAAAATTCAGTAATATGTCAAATATAGCCATGTTGAATTGCTATTCACTGTATTTAATGATTAATTTTGGCTTATTTGTCTTGCAGACGAATACGGTACTTCAGACAGATCTACCCATTCCGTACCGTCTGGCATTATAACAACGCTTTGTACACCCTGGCTGGGCACGTAGCGGAGAAGCTAACAGGGAAGTCCTACGAAGCCCTCTTGCGGGAACGAGTATTGGGACCGCTGGGCATGGACGACACAGTGTACTTGGCCGACGTTCTCGATGATGAAGATTTCTCCAATTTAGCCCAGACGTACCTGACCTATAACAGAACAGGTCAATCTGTGGCGTACAGTCACGAGGAGTTCAGGTAAGCGATGCCTGGTTACTGTGCAGTTTCAGTGATATCCAAACAAATGTTTTTGCTACCTTTGATGCTTTTTCTAGTACATGTATTGTATTTTCAAGGGTTCACCTCAGATACTATAGTATGCTAACATCTGGAGACTGTCTTTTCATAGCATCTACGTCCAGATGAGATCAACATGCAGAAGTGTTCATTCATGTTACATACAAATATTCCAATATCAAATTGATTTGCCATATGGAGATAAAATAAATTTAGAAATGTGTGGTATTTTTTCTTTGTAGGCCTCTCAAGTTACATCTTCCTGCAGGAGGTGTGGTGTCCAACGCCTTGGACATGGCCCGGTACATGAACTTCCAGCTGAGCGGGGGGAGGGACGCGGCCGGCCGCCTGGTGGTGCCGGAGGACACCTTACGGCAGACCCACGTGGCAGAGCTCCCCTCGAAGTTTAACCCCAACAAACTTGAACCTGACTGGCCAGTAGAGGCGGGGACGGAGCAGGGCTACGGGTTGGCGTGGTTTGTTGGCACCTACCGAGGTACAAAATAGTCACTGATGTTAATTGATGTAATCCACGCTTGTAATGCTGAGGTCACATTTCCAAAACCCAGGGCCCCCGTCGGGCTGTTTCGATTAATGAAAATCGACAATTTATATCAATATTATACGGAAATAGTTCCCAATTATTATTCTTACCAACTTTTTTGGTGCTTTGTTATATCCTACTTTTCGTTCCATAAGACTGTCCGGCCGGGCCCCGGTTTGAAAATGTGACCCCAGCATAATCAAGGACAGAAGTCTTTCATAATTTGCTGTTGGAGTAGTTTGCGATGCGGTCTTTTAAAAGATAAACTACTAGCTTTAAAAGCAAGGCTAATATGATATAGCAAATTTCCAATCAACTTAAGTGGCTTAACGATTGGTAAAAAGCGGAAATCCAGAGTATTACATTTCCTGCACTGTATTTAGCAACAATGTACTATGTACATTCGTCGACTGTTAAGTGAGAATGTTACAATGGGGATCTTGTTGCCATGCAATCTGCAATCGCTGTCTTATTGTCTGCACATCACTATCTATTTCAAAGCTGTAAATCAGCATTGATTCAAACAAAAATCTTGCCCTCCGCCAGGATACAGGCGACTACAACACAATGGCTTCGTGGCAGGCTATACGTCTCTCCTGTCCCTGTACCCTGCCGCTTCGGGAGGAGTTTTCACCTCCGTCAACGGCCCCAATGCAGCGGGCATTGACGTCCATGAAATCATCCACGACCTGGTCGGGGACATCGTAACAGGTACAAAGTCTCTAATCTCCATACAGATATTGGGAAGCAAAAACAGTTATATTTACCTAGCTTACCTCTTCTGTCACAAGCTGCCTTCCACATGCTTGATTAAAAGTTTGATTTCAACTGTTTGTTGGACGAAAACATAATCTACCGTAAACATATCTGCAGTATGTCAACTGGTCAGGAAACGGTCTAAATTCTAATGTCTATCATCTTTTGCTCGCCAATAGGTAAGGACCATTGGCTTAACGACACCACAGCCTGCACCTATCCTGAACCTTGGTTGACGAGACCAAAGCCCAACAGCACCGACCTCCCTGAGATCTCGGACAACTTCCCGCGAGACAAACGTGACTACGAAGGAGTCTACGGCAACCGTGTGGCAGGCAACCTGACCATCAGCCTGAACACGACCGACGGCAACTTATACTTCAGTCTTGGTCTGATCGGACGGGGTCTAGTTCTCCCTTCCACCTCTCCTACCCGCATTCTCCTACGGGCGGGAGAACCTTTAGTATATACCCCCAACATTGTTGCCGATGTAGAAGAAAAAGATGGTGACGTCTTTTCTCTGTCAGTAGAAAGCTATGCTCCTGAACCCCCTATCGTATTCGAACGAGGATTGAAGCTGACAGACCCGGACCCTACAGAGCCGAAATGGGACGACTGCACCGGCGTCTCTGGCACTCCAAACCGCGCAGCTTCGAGTAACATATTCATGATTTTGATCCTTTTGGCTCTGTTTACCACCTAATCTGATTCACAAAAGCAGAAGAAGATCAATGGGCCCCTTTTGGATGTGATATATTTCCTAAGTCACCGACGCTAAGTCACCTGTCATAATGATATTTTCATATATGCTAATGACACAAGTATAGTAACTATACTTATCTCCTTGTCAAACGTCACAGGAATATTGAACAGAATGAACATAGGACTTAATTAATCAACCGAGCTATCAATGATTATACAATAAACTAGAGTTACACAACTTCATACCTTTATGACCAACTGATTATGAATGTTTTACATTAATTATGCAAATGTATGAATTCGCAATAAAAAGCAAATTAGGTTTACCAAGAAATCCTAATTTAGGGTTACCAAAAAACCTAAATTAGGGTTACCAAAAAACCCTAAACCAAGAAACCTAAATTAGGATGACCAAAAAGCCCTAAATTAGGGTTTGCAAATAGTGTACCTAACACAGTGTACCTCAAAGTACGCATTATCTATCTCCTTTTGAAATAATGTAAGAAATCAACGTACGAAAAATAGATGATTTGTCAAGCAATAAAACCGGTATCTTATAAAATTGTACCATTGCATCGAAGACGTCAATGTGCTATCTCCCACTGCCTCCTGAGAAGAAGTCAAACCCCCTAATAGCATGACAAGAATAGTTGAATAAGATAGAATAGATTAGAATAGCAGTTACATTGTTCCTATTACCTGTTCACATATTGCATATTTACTTTTTATTCCTGTATGTATACCAACGTTATTAGATTTAAGTAGAGATAGTAGGTTCGATAAGTATATCG